TTTTTCTTTTCTTCAAGTTTATTCCTTAGTTCTCTTTCTTCTTGGTCCAACTCTGTGTGAAGTGGAAAACAATAGAGCAAAATCAAAACATTAAGAATATAGTATGAAATAAAAATGAGTTAAGATTTAAATCATATCATATTCATAAACTTCAGTACTTTACCTTGTTCTGTTTTCTCCAACCATTCCATTTCCTCAGGAGTAGGGGTGTGTGCAAGGCTGGTAATGGCATCTGACTTCAACCATTGTTGTAGGCAAATCAATGCTTCAACTGACCTTGGAGTTAATGAACTCCTATGAGGATCAATTACCCTCTTTCCAGTGCTAAAAGAAGCTTCAGATGCCACTGTGTTGACTTGGATTGCCAAAACATCCTTGGCAACAGCTTGCAAGTTAGGATACTTGGATCCATTTAACTTCCACCAACTCAAAATGTCCCAATCACCCTCAGGTTTCTCTATAGGATCAAGCAGGTATCTATCCACTTCATGAGCAATTACAATTGCATTTCCATCTTCAAGATCCTTTTGCCAATCCTCCATCATCATTGCCCTTCTCCCTGTCACCTTCATGGATGGACACCTAATCAAGTGAAAGAAAAACAGAAAACACAATGTATTAACATATATGCACAAAAATAAATAAGTCACACAATTTTAGAACAAATAATCAACTGAAAAGTTACCTGCTGCTACCTTCATTCTGTTCAGCTTCAGAAACTCCCAAGATTTTTTTTGTGTTACTACTTTGACCACCATTCATTGATGCATATAAATCAGTGAGTGTGACAATCAAATCTTTGAGCTCTTCAGTTTTTCTCTTCACATAATCACTATCATGTTGCAACATTTTTTCAAGAACCCTTGAGAAGTATCTCAGTTTATATCTAGGGTTCAACACCAAAGCTACAAGAAGAAGTTTGTTCACATCATCTATAGTATCAAAGTACTTCCTATACTTCCTCCTCATTTCCACAGACATAGTAAACAAAATCTTCTCATAATCAGTACTTTGATTTGTCACTGGTGCAGCAAATAGATCATCAATTTCACACTTGATTGTCACAATCTCACTAAATGCCTTATGTGCAGTTGGTGTGTTAGTACAACTAACATTAAGAGTGACATCAAAGAATACTTTCAAGAACTTAATAAAAGCCTCAGCCCTATACCAGTCTTCTTCATTTGGTGGCCCAACCCTCTTTTTCCCTCTGTTTTTTCTTTTCCTTTTCTCACCCTCTGCCCCCTCAGTACCAAATATCAAATCAGTCACATCATCCTCATCATTTTCATCATCTTCATCTTCATCAAAGTAACCCTTATATTTACTGTCCTCCTCTGCTAGCCTATCAAATGCCAACTTCAACTCATATGCTGTTTCCAGCATTATGAAGGTAGAATTCCACCTTGTTGGCACATCTAACACACAAACATTTTTGCTATCCAACTCTTCTTTTTTTACACATTCTTTAAATTCTTGAAGTCTAGCAGGTGAACTTATAACATACTTACATGGAGATATTTCCCCCCTAAAACAAGCTGTTTATCACCATTGTTAAGCTTTCTTTTCATATAATCCAGTGCAACCTTGTTGGCAGATGCATTATCAACTGAAATGGTCAAAACTTTCCTAATTGACCACTCTTGCAAACAATTTTCAAGAAGCTTTCCTATTGTTATCCCTTGATGATTTGGAATGGCACTGAAATTAAGAATCCTCTTATGCATAGTCCAATTAGCATCAATGAAATGGGCTGTTAGCACCATATAATTGATGTTTTGGATTGAAGTCCATGTGTCAGTTGTCAAACTAACACAATGATTCTTAAGTTCAGTTTTTAAAGCTTCTTTCTTAGCATTGTACATACTTAAGAAAGACTTAACCACAACTTTCCTACAAGGAATTTGCCACTTAGGAACAGCTACAGCACAAAATCTCCTAAAACCACTCTTTTCAATTGCAGAAAATGGCATTTCATCAATCACAATCATTTCAACAGCAGCATTAGTGCAATTTTCTTGTGTCCAATGTGTAACAACAGCATCTTTACCCTCTAAATCCACTGCAAAATGTTTCTGACCCTCTCTTAAGTTTCTAGCACTACCTGGATAACTATCACAATGCAATTCAAGGTGTTTTTGGAGAGTACTAGTCCCATTCCTAGTTGAGTTGCAAGCTAGATCAGATTCACAATACTTACATTCAGCCCGGGTAGTTTTTCCAACTTTCACCTTCACACCCTCTTCATTTGCAACCATCAGTGGCTTATGGACAATTTTAAAGTGGCTCCACACCCATGACTTCTTCTTCTTTCCTTCTGAAGCATCCCGTAATCTTCTTTTCTTCTGTGGCTGTGGGTTCTTCGAATTAGGGTTCCGCTTCTTTCCTTTTGAGTTACCAACATCTTTAGATGGGTTTGAGCTTTGACTGTGGCTACTTTTTCAGATTCTGAAGCCATGAGCAATTGAGAATCAAAGAAATGAAAGAAGAGGGAGTTTTACGGTTCAGAACTTCAATTTTGAAGCTCAAAATCAAAACTCAAATCGATTTAGGGTTTTAAATTTCAAAGGAAAAGGGATTTATGATGGATTTTAGGATTAATTTAGGGCTTGGAAATCGAAATTGAATCGAAATTGATGCAATCTCAACTCTGTTCTTCGATTATATGATTTTGGCGATTTGTGATTTGGGGCTCGACGGGAACGACGGGAAGAAAGAAAAAGGGCTTCGATCTTGAGAGAGGAAAAACAAAATTGCAAAATGAATGAACTAAGGTTAATTTCACTAATTATTTGCACAAAATAAACTAACTAAGGTTAGTTTTATTACCATAGTAGACAACTAAGTATAGGTTTAATAATAATATATAAACAACCGGTTCCTCGGTTTTTTTAGTTATTGTGAAGTAAAAACCAAAAACCGGAACCGAAAACGAAAGATAAAAAACCGAACCGGAAAAAACCTGCCACTCACATGAATAACCGGACCGAACTGGCTTATTTCAGTTCGGTCCGGACCGGTTTTCCGGTTCCCGATTCGAAAATCCCAGCCCTAGAAATGAAAGAAGTAAATTTGGAATTCATTGTAATTAGTATCACTAAAAAAAAAACTCTTACATTCTAATGAATTTTCTGTTGGAATTCTTTATATTTTTCGTTGGAATAGCTATTCTAATGGATATTCCTACATATAAAAATTCATGGGGAAAACGGACGTTGGAATAGTTAAAATCCAACGGAAAATCCTATGGAAATAAATTCCTGCAGCTATTCCAACGGAAAAAATCCGTTGGAATTCCTCAACCTCCAACACTTATTCTAACATAAAATTAAGTTTGTTGGAATATTCATTCGAATTTTCAACAAAAATTTTTGCCGTTGGAATTGAAGTGTTTTCTTGTAGTGTATTTTTAATGGAATCATATTTTATTAGTCGGTTTGGTTATGTACTTTGGCCCAAAAGAATTTCTTCTAAGGCGGAAAAGAGATTGATACTCGACGGGCTTTAAAGTATACAACGAGCTTTACGTAGAAGCCCAATTTATGTCGGCAATTAATGGGCCATATTTATGTGGCTTTTACACAATCTATTAATATCCAATGCACGTTTTGAAAAACTTGATATTTGAGAAATACAATCAGCTGACCACAAAAAAAATAGGCCATTGTTCTAAAAA